TACTAAAACGAAAATGACAAAGGCACACAAACAACGAATGGCCTCCAGAGTTCTCGCAAAGGAGGTTCGACCCAGCCCCCATCCGCGCGCTGGCCAACACCAGCTCGAAAGGCGGCCTGTTGCAAAGCAAGAAGAGATGTGATTGCACAGACACCTCTAGATACAAGGCTAATCAACACCATAATGCCATAGGACACCGGGAGCCCAAGGAATGCGTATGCTACTTACTAAGCCTGGTTGTGCAATGACGTCATGTTTCAATGTCGGCCTCACAAGCCAGCAAAACGTCCGTAAGGAAGCAGGCAAAGCTCTCAGAGCTTCTTCCATAACGACTGGTGATCATTGCAATATGAGATGCTGTAGGGCTGTGTTATGTAGTCATGTGCAAATGAGAAAGTTCGGGTTTACCTGAAGCAAAGCTTGAAGTTTCCCTGGCAGTCAAGAATTGGCCCATGTGCGATTCAAACGATAGCAGCGTGATAGCGGCCATGTTCAACATCGGTCGCACGACAACTACCTTGAAAACCGAATGGCAAGTTCGCAGAAAGGTCTTCGCTGCAGGCACTTGGAGGCTAAAGTGCCTCACGTGTAGAAGCAAAGGGGGCTGGAAGGCTAGAGGAGGCAGGACGTCGGCTGGAATGAGGCTGCAATGTTTGCTCCTGAAAACTACACCCTCTGAAGCTTTCGGAAGTGCTGCCTGTCTGGCATAAGTCTTATGGTGGAGGGTTGAGCGTCAGCAAACATGCTAACATAGAGTTGGGCTTCGCCTCGGAAATCATGATAACATGTGATAGCCAAACTACTCAGGGGGCCATGACTAAGACATACAATTACATTGAACCGGTGCCCCGCCTGCCACGCAGTTCGTGCAGTGTCCACAGAACCTACATCAGCAAGGCATGTGTCATGTAGGTTCAACATGAGGGGCCTCAACTTCTGTGTGACGCCGGATCAACATTCTATGCCCTGGTGGTCTTCCACCTCCTCACTTCCCCGCAACATGTCCTAGGACTTCCAACTCTTCCTGTACGCAGAATGGGAGCAATCTGAGTCTTCCCATGTCAGCTCCGGAACACCATCGGAAACTCCAGGCCTCACCTGTCTACACCAAACAGGAAGGGCGGCAACCCTCATTCAGCTTGGGTTACAACTCCAGAGAACACCAAATCCCAAGTTTAAGCGGTATAACTCTGGGGGAGCTACCCAATTCACAAACTCTCCGCACAAAGCCTCAAACTGAAGCCCTAACAAGCGGGCGCGGGCAACTGGTTAGATCAACTAGCACGCCTTTTGGGTGTTCGAGCTCGTCGGTCGACCGAAGAGACGCATTGCAAATAACGTCTGAGGCCCTCGAAAATCAATTGAGGCAAATGGGAGAACACCCCTGCATAGGCGGTTCTGGGCATCATTGGCCGTAACTCGTGTCTTGCCCCTGAAGGCGCTCTCTTGTGTGTTGTCATGCCTTGAGCCGACGTCTCACATTAACAGCTTCTCGATGCAACACAACAGACGCACTGCTCACTGCCGCATCATAGCTGCAAAGTCACGTTTGAAGGATACATCTACAACATCTCTCGTGCTCATTAAACTTCGAAAGAAAGCGAAGAATCAGGCCTTACGCTTGGCGCACCCCAGCCTTCCAGCATGCCTGTTGGCGCGTAGCTGCGACATTGCACTTGCTGCTTGCCCATTCTTCTCGTAGACCGCTTCAAAAGCGTATCTGGCATGAATGCCAACCGGTCTGCAGTTGCCGTCCCTTGGTTTGTCCTGGGCTGGTCACATTTACCTTCAGCTTTAGCTTTCCACAGTGCAAGCGTGCCGCATACTTCTGGGCCCAGTTAAAAAGGGGGGGAGGCTTCGAGATCCGAAGTGTCCAAAAAAACCAGGCCTATTTGGATTCCGCAAAGAGAAGGAAGTTCCCGTGAGCGAAACAGGCACAAGTCCACTGAAGGATCATCGGCGCCTGAAAGGCTCTGAAGTTTCTCGTCTCAGTGTCCGCCGTCATGGGAAGCCGACATAGTACAAGCTCGCATCAAGCCCAACAACCTGGCGACAAAACCTGGGTCAGCTGACACGCACATCTCCACTGAGGGATCCTCAAAGCGCAAATGGCTCAGTCCGTGCAGTCAGTGTGCCTCATCATGGTCCAGAACCAATGAATTTGGTAGTTTCCCTAAAAAATGTAACCCAAAATTAACTATTATAATCTTTATTATACGGACCCGCCCAGAAAGGTACCCCTAATTTGAGAAAACTCCCAGCTTGCGCAAGCGTCATCAAGAGAACACAATGCGCAGGTCTGGCGCAATGATCTGGAAAGCTTTTTTAACCCGCGGCCGGGACTTACCCAGGTCCTTCCCTGCAGAAAGGACCTTCTGAATGCTAGGCTATGACCATCACCATCAAGTCAGACATAGGCAGCAACAACTTCTGCAGTTGCAGTTAGCCAGCCTGAATTGCAGCGCTTGAAGGCAAACATCCATCACCGGGGAGTCAGCCCAAGACAAGCCACGTCAGCTGACACGCACAATTCCACTGAAGGATCATCAGCGCCTGAAAGGCTCTGAAGTTTCTTGTCTCAGTGTCCGTCATCATGGGAAGCCGACAAAGTACAAGCTCGCATCAAGCCCAACAACGTGGCGACAAAACCTGGGTCAGCTGACACGCACATCTCCACTGAGGGATCCTCAAGGCCCAAATGGCTCAGTCCGTGCAGTCAGTGTGCCTCATCATGCGTGGCAAGGGAACACCCACACCAGCAGCCAAAGCTTTGCACCACAAAGTGAAAGTACCGACTTGGGTCAACAGCTCAAGCAGAGATAGCTTGACACACTCCGGCAGCTGCACCCAGCAGCGACGAGGTAGGGACACTGGCAGTGTACAACATTGTATCGAAGGCCTCCACCTCAGAAAAGTGTCGCTCCATCTCTATCCTTCTTACTGGCGGAAGCACATGAAACACGTGGGACCAAAGAGCCCGATGTGAGCATCATGCATGACACTCGCACCCCAAAGCCTGGCCAACTTGTAGTCGTGCCGTTGTACTGCTGAATGCCAGGATAGTACTTCTGCGAAGGTTGCGAGCCAAACAGAATCAGCAAACGGCACTCAGCTAGGCGGGCATGCACGCTTTTGCATTGGGAGTTCGCAATCGATCTTGTAATGGCCTAAGCTTGGGCAGAAGGCGCATGTGCTTGGCTTCCAAGGGGCCCAGCCGCAAGACTTCTGGGGAAATGAACAACTAACTTCTGAGCGCTGATGCCCGCATGCTGTTGGGACAGGAACTTTCAGTCTATCCTTCAATGCCAATGCGTGGGTTGTAGCATCACATTTGCCATCTTGTCATGGTAAGCAAAGGGGGAAAGCCTCTTCTTTGTGCCGCACTTTGCACAAAATAATTCAAGTCAAAGTGGGGCAATGCAATCTTAGCAAAAGGTGATTGAAATACTACAGCCCACAAAGAGACAAGTACTGGAGACTATACAAGCCAATAGAACCCCTATTTAAAGCACTGATGAAGTGATCCAACTACAGCTTGTCAAGGCTGGATGGGACCTTTGGGAAATGCAGTGCCTCGGCTCTGCACCTGGGAAGCAACAGCCATTCTTGGCCCTTGCAGGCCTTGCAAAGTCATTGCGTGAGTATTGCAATTCAAAGTTCAAAAGCTCTGATAAGGAAGTGTAGACTTATGGCAGCTTATCAAGGCTGTTGACTCCATAGGGAGCTACTCTTCTCAAGCTGAACAGCGCACTTCGCGGTCTTCATATTGAGAGTGTTACTCCCGTCTAATCTGGAGTATTTGCTCCTGGCCGTGCTAGTTCACCCGCTCAACAGCGGGCCAACTAGCATGCCAAGAAGAGTGAAGCACAGCGCCCCGCCTGCAGCCCGGAAACGTGTTGATCGATCATTATCATCACAGTTGCGTCATGGAAAGCACAAGTACACTTGGAACCTATGTAACCCAGTATAGCATTTTCCATCTTCTTTCCGTTATCCCATTATATACCCCAATATATACACTATTATAGTATAGTAGTGTCCATTTTCTCTTCCATGATCCCTATATAACCACAATATATACCCTATAAGCCCAATTACCACCAACTGCCCAGGAAATGAGCGTTAAGCTGGCCAACCAAGTACAGCTGACCACATTCAAACACCCCTCATACTATAACCCATAATAATCCAGTTTCCATTTCATTTTCCATTTGATTTTCTATTGATTATCCATTATTGGGGTATTACCCCTATATGAAGTTGCTTGAGACCTCTCTGGCAAAAGTTGTTGCTCTAAGCAGATGATGCTAGGGCTGCAGGGCGCAAGCGACTGCTTGAAATCCGAAGTTTGGATGTTTGCAGGATCTCCTCCTGGCTGATAGCACATTCAAGGATCTGAGTGGTGTGCTAAGATGTAAGCTATGTTTTTTTGAAACTACCACATGAAAAGGTGAGCATTATCTGCAATTCAGCGAGCTGCTTTGGCTTCAGATCGATCAGAGCTATAGTCTAAAGTATCCCCTTTAACAACCCCTATGGTAATCCCTATAGATCCCCCATATAACCCTCTTGAAGGAGTTTAGACTATGGCTCATCAGAACTCATCCGCCCAGGATGGGTCAGGGTCTGCCCAATCGTCATCGCCGTCTGGCGAGCGCACACACACCATCTCCACAGGCCCAAAGCAGTAGCCTTGCGCCCCTTATCCGACTGTAGACAGGCTTGCTGTAAAGGAACTTATAAAGTAAGTTACCATACTATGGCTACATGGAACAAAACAAGCTTTCCTTATTACAGTAACTTAATCTGAGTTTCTTAGCAGCAACCACTGAGGTCTAGGAGATAATATTGCACCTGCTAGAGGCTCCTGAGAGGCCAATGCGCATCAACACTGCAACCTTTTCGCAGCTTTGCCGGAAGCTAGGTAAGTATGCTTCTGTAGCAAGCAAGCAATTAGTGAGGTATCAGTTTGACCTAAATCCCTTCAGACAGCGCCATGCCTGCACCATCCTCCTCGAGAACCGTGAGCGTTCCTGGCTCCACGTCCTGCCAAGCCATACTTGAAGTCAAATGCAAGCCTATGTAAGTGTGGCTTTTCCAAAGTCATCCCCTTCCAGGGCTAAAGGGCAACGGGGTAAATGAGGCTTTCAGCATCATATTTCATTTTTGCCACGGGCAAACAGCTACTGCTAGCCAGAAGGTGCGTCGAAGCTCGGACCCCCATGGCGACTGAAAAAAACAACGTACCCCGAATTAGCAATGGCTGACCCCACACCTCACATCCTGACCCCACCCTATACTTCCACCCGAATTCTCTAACCATCTAATAAACCGACCTTCCTGAAACACCAATTCTCAAACGACCTCACCAAACCCAAAACAAAACCCGAAACACAAAGCACCTCCCAAAACTATATCTAACCCCAAAACACAAAACAAAATCATAACAACCTCCTTTCCCCACACCTCAAACCTTGACCCCCACCCTACACTTTTACCACCATTGAAAAAGGTATCCAAAAACCTACCTCACACCACAAGCCCAAACCAGAGCAACCACCTATACCCATAACCTTTTCCGTTCTATAAACAAAACCATAACCAATAACCATATGCTTAACCTTATCCTTCTATATCCCAAATCGTAACCAATAACCACGTCCTTTACCTCACCCATTCTACACCAAATATCCGAACTTGAACTGGGCTATGTCCCCCTAATAGAACACCCCAAAAGCCTATAACCCTGAACAGGGGGATGCCCCCTACATAGAATTTTACTAATATTAATTAGTAAAATGCTATGGACTTGTTAGTTTGCTTTATCTAGATTACATCGATGCTTCTTGGTTCTGTTGTGTTTCGCTTGTTCGTCTCTTTTAACATCACAAACAGGTATTTCACAACCAACAATTAGTTGTGCGTATAACTTCCTTCGCTCATTTACTTTCTCGTGGTGTTCTTGTTTGCATTCTTTAATCTTATCCGTACATACACCGCAAGTCTTAATTGTGTGTCTTTAAATTCCCATACACCCTGCGTGTCTCTAATTTTTACACTGTAATTAGCGTCGCCCGAGTTCCTATCAATATCCATACCTGTGACCGGGACTTGTATATCTCCTGTTGAAGATGTTAGATTAAGATTGCCCACAACTGTTAAGTCAGCACCGTTCTTACATTATTTAAATGAGAAGTTCCATCATTTTTGAAAAAATCACTCACATTAGGCGTTGCGTCTATTCCTACTTGTGCTATTGATGCTGTCCCTATTTTTACCTGACCTGGTCCGAAACTTTGAATTTCTATGAGTGCTTCTAAGTTTTGATTTGAACCATTGCGACAAGTTAAAGTTCTATTTCTAAGCTCCCACATTGCTTGAAAATCTCGTGCTCTTATATTATATGAAGCTTTACCACATGGTCTATACAAATCAGCACCAATAGTAGATAGTATAGCAGTACTAAATTCAACATTTCGTGCCATATTTACTTTTAAGTTAGGAACACGACCAGCACTTGTAGCATTATAATTTGTTCCATTACCTTTCATGTTTATGTAGTTTGTTTGGTTTTTTAAAGCTGCTACATCACTGTCGGTTTCTGCTCCAAATTGATTACTAACTAAACCACTAAAGCACCGCTTAACGGTTCATTATTGATCGTTTTATTCTTCACAGTTAGCCCCGTGTGTAATATTGTTGGTCTGCTACAATCTTCAATCGGGAAGAATGACATATAATCTTCAAATCTACTTTTGTCTTCTTTACATGATACAACGCATCTACTTCTGTCTGGCTGTACACTGCTAAGTTATCTGCTAAACTATCTGTTTCTGTATTTTATTGTTTTATTGTAGTAATTAGTGTCTGTGTATAAAACCCATTATCTATTATGGTGCCAATTTGTGCCGGTGTGTAATAATTCCCTAATGTCACAACTTGACTTTTCGCGTAATGATTTGTAGTAAGTATTGTTGCTGATACAAACTTGGTATTTAGTTGTGTCGTAGTTTGATAACTGTTTGTGAAGTCTGTATTTTAAAGCTTTAACAGTATGGAAGTTTTGAAGTTGCTTTGTGTTTAATACAAATATATCACTTATGTTAGTTTGTATTGGTGTATCGTGCGCTCTGTCCTTCGCAATTAGTGGCGCTATGGCATTGTCTAAATGTGTGTGAAATTCCACCAGAACCAGCAATAGCACTGTTTATTGTTTCTGTAATGGTTGTGTTTCCGGTTTCGTTGATTTTTATGAAGTTGTGCCCATAAGGAAAAGAAGCACCATCAGTTGTCATTGCTTGGTTATACATTAATATGTTTATGTCAAGTGCTACAACTTCTGCTTGTAAAATGATATTGTAGAGTTGCCATTGTGTGAATGTGACGCCTGTTGTAAAATAATATTTTGCCCTATCCCCACCTCCTGCCGTAGCAGCAGATAAAAAAGGTTGAATAACTGGGACCTGTTCTTCACTAACGATTGTAATGCCAATCTCCAAAAGAGCATAACCAACGGGTAATTACTCTCTAAAAAATTGCATTTAAATTGATGACCTAATCTAACTCATTCAACACCACCACGAATTCCAGTTACTGAATGACGAGTATAACCATTTTCTGAGACTCCGCATTTAATATTGGTCTCTATGGTCGTCATCATCAGGCGAAGGTTCGGCAGCAGTAGCACCAGCATTTGATCTGATAAATTGGTCTATACCATTAGCATATTTATGTCTCCAATCATCATCCCAACGAGGATTAGCGCTACTTTCAATATTGCCCATACGTCGGGCATCTGCTGATTTGAATGAGTTATATAACTCACAATGTCTGTTATACTGGTCTATATCTTGAACTAATTGACCTCCTACCGGGCATCTAGAACGAGTTAGAAAATCCGTGTAATCCTGATAATGATTCGAAAAAAACCTTTGGCACCACCTTCACTTCCACTAGCAGCACTATCATGAGCTACAACAAGCTTAAATTTGCACCGCCGGTCACAAGCACAACGAGGTCAAGTATTGAGCCCGTAAGGAATTCCATGGGCCATCCTCGGCGTCCTTTAAACGTTATTACACGAGAACACAACTACGACTACAAATATGATAACAACAAAATAGTCTTGCAGGTGTTACTGTTGCTAGGATTACTGCTAGCAATGCCATGGGCTTAGCACTTCCCCATGTGTCCTTGCCGATTTCTGCATCTTCGGCATAAGTCTCACCCTGCATGCATGGCTGGGTATAGCAGGGTATGAGATGCATGCTTGGTAAAAGCAGGATGCTACGAAGGGCACGCGAATTGGAGACATGCAAGCCAGCGGCTATAGCTGACTGGGCTTGCTTTTGCCGTGCTACCATGTCTGCTAGTGTTGTTGATGCTAGTTGACAATGTGTAGGTCCAAGTGCTGATACACAAGTCGCCGTGTTTCCAAAGCAACTCGATACGGAGCAAGTCAGATGTAGAAACCTTGTTGTTATCCTAAGATGACTTGCAGGCACACCTCCTCTTTCTTGATTGTTGGGGGGGAACTTTGGCAAGAAAACAGGAATCCTCCCCAGAGCCTTTGGCTTGAAGGGTGGGTCCAGCTGTCGCGCCAGAAGCCCCTCCCATCCTTCCAGTGAGCTGGACATTTTCCAAGTGTCAAACCGAGTATTCAGATGCAAAACGCACAGATTTGCACTTGGGGACTTGACTTCTTTCCAGGGCAGGAGCACTGCAATATCGCACACGCCTGTTAGGTAAGAGCAGAACCTTGGAATCTGAGGTGATGACTGAAGCCCGCATAGAAGGGGTGCTCCTGCGACTTAGCCAGCTGTGACTTGAAGAACTTTACCCATCCCGTCCCCCATTCAACACCCCCTTCCCGGAGCATTTACAGTTCATTCTGAATCTTTGCTTGTGGGGGGCTTGACAAGCATCATGGCGGCGGTTGCGTTCTGGCACAGTCTTACGACCCTGGTAGCGGCGTGTCTGGGAACACGTGTTGCAGGGCACACTAAGTAGCAGGAAGCGAGCAACATGAGCCGGTTGGGCAAGCCTTGCAAAGTGCACCTGGTTTGAGTATCTGCCAGCACGTTGGTCTACAGTTGGGACCCCCACAAGGATGATCTTGGGCTGAGATTTTGACACAGGCCCATTTCGCTTTCAGTTGGATTGTTCTTCAGTGGACTGCACGTGAGAGACTCTCAAAATCTGCTGGTATGATCCTTGAAGGGGGCAACCCGTCATACGTCGTGATCCCCATGTTTTTGCTACTTGGAACCGGCACACCATAAACCCTAAACCCTGGGTACCGGGTAACCCTTAGAGTACCGCTGTTGTGGGATACTCCCAAGTCCCCAGGCCTAGGGGACGCCTTTTATTCGAAACCCGAGACCCTACATACAACTCCCTGTCCATATGACACATGCAAACACACACAGATATACATACATATCTATATGTGTACATACATGCACATGTACCTACATGACCCCATTACCTGCCTACGTGCTTCATATAGCTCCTTGAAAGCTTTATACATCCTTATATGTTCCTATATATAACCTCATATGAGCTATAGGCTAAACTCCGAGTATCCCCTTTCAAAATCTATAAGACTCCCTTATCTAGTCGCCTACATAACCCCCCTTCAAGGGGTTTACACTATAGCTCTTAGGAGGACCCCCCCACCCTGTAATAGTGACTATAAGGGATAATGAGGACCATATTAAGGTGCTCTTATATTCCTACTATACCACTATTACAGGGTAGTGGGTCCTCCTAATCTAGCTCCTATATGGTAGTTTCCCAAAATGAGGGGACCCCAATATAGACCCTAAAATACTATAGTCCTTATTACTGGGACCCCCAAAAGGTACCCCTAATTCTGGGAAATCCCCATATCCCTAAACCCTAAACCCTAAACTCTAAACCCTACATATCAGCCGTAGCCCTTCCAAGGGACCTTCAGATCTTCGTAGCCGCGCTGCCCCGCGCCAAGGCGCTTCGCAGGATCTCTGCACCTCAGGGGCCAAGTGTCCTTCCCCTGTTCTACTAGGTTTAGGGTTTAGGGTTTAGGGCCCTGTTCTACTGGAACTTATAGTCCTCCTTAAGTAGATGGAAACTACTATAGTAGATTGGGGTTATATAGGGATAATGGAAAAGAAAATGGAAACTACTATTTAGGGTTTAGGGTTTAGGAACTTAGTTTGTTACTACAATAAAAAGGTTATAGGGGGCAACGAAGTATAGGTATATATGCGTATATAGGGTTTAGGGTGTAGGGTTAAGGAACACAAACTTAGTTACCATCATAAGGAAACCGTATTGTTCACTGTGTACTCATATTATAGTACCTAAGTTCTTTAGCAGCAACCCAATTTTACCACCCCCCTCTGGCCCTCGCAGTCAAAATTGGAAATCCAAGAACCTACTTGGCAGTTCGAATGCAGGTTGTAGGCTAGCCCTTGGCGTCGTGCCCAAGCTGTGCTCCCTAGCTTGGGAGCTCTTTCTACTATTTATTCACCTTATGCAAGGGCATCATGTCTACAGGGAGCCCCAATTTTGACACCAGCCCATGGGCTGAAAATCAAATTTCAGAGTCCAGGGGATTTCAGCTTCAAAGGTCCTCAAACTGATAACGTCATGGCAGTCAGTCATCCTTATAATGGAAGAACTCGGAAGAAGTGGAAACTAATACATTATGATAGGGTATCTATTGGGGTTATAGTAGGGAATAAGGGAATATAGTATCTATGGATTATAAATATATTCCCTTGTTACCTACCAAGCCCCAGTAAGTAACGCAGTCGCGCTCATCACCGCTCTCGGGGCTGTCAGCAGGGCTTCAAGGTTGAGACACGAAGGGTAAATTCGGCCCCTCTTAGAGAAGATCTAGCTCTAATCTAGGAATCTAAGTACGCAAAGAGCGGCCCTAAGCCAATCATGTTGCCTCAAAGCACAAATTGCCCCTGCAAAAAGGCAATGCTCAACTTCAAGGAGCATCCCTATGCTGGAGAGAAGTAGTCTTGAGGCCGAGCTGGCGTGGATGGACTGCAGACAAGGTCGTGCGTGGCATGCGGTGTGTCCCTTACAACGACCTTCAAATCTAGACTCCCCAGTGGAGGATGGGTGGGGAGAGTTATGTTGGGGAGTACCATCATGAATGGGAGCTCACAACAACTTCCATTGCAACTATCGGGAAAGTGAGTGATGGCTGCCAGCATGTCATTGGGTAATGAGGCCCAGGCAGCAGAGCCTTCATCAGCTCCTTGGCGTCCTTTGGCGGGTCGAGGTGATGCCACCGATTGCTCAGGGAGGAGGGCACAAGCAACGTCTCCAAATCTGACACTTGCTGCTGTTTGCAGACTGAAAAACTTCTGGCTGACCTGGCATGAGTCATGAGGCCATAGAGCAGTGCCACTCTTGACAGACTGCAAAGCAGGCAGCAACGCTCCTGCTGATACAGAACATCTGGCGCTGCTGAATTCGCTGAATGGTACCATTGACATTCGATCACATTCCACTCATCTTTCTGAAGCCCAAAACCCCGGGGTTAGGGCAGAAGGGCTTCTTGTGTGACATGAGGAGGAAGGACAAAACCTCACAAGTAGATTCGCTCCTTCCATTAAAGAATTGGGCCTCGAGCAGACTTAACCATGGGTGGGCGATGAACCTCTTAAACTTACTGGATCTTAGTAGGGAATGAGGGTAGATAATCCCTGGATCATCCCAAACATAATATATTCCCTTATTCCGTGCTAAGACTGCTAAGAACCGGTAAGTAGATCAGTTATCCCCGATTGAGATCCAATTTGTCCCGACACCTCTTCCGACACCCTCGAGCCGACCCTTCTGCCAATCAAGCGCCTTTCCTCGAAATGACCCCGTGGAGTCCACATAAGCTGTAGTCTAAACTCATTACAGGTGTTATATAGGGGATGATATAGGGGACTACTATAGGGTTTATTAAGGGGATGCTTGGAGTTTAGACTTTAGACTCTAGCTCACATAGCCGTTCCTTGAACACTAGCCCAGGCCTTCTCATGCACGCCCAGCCATTTTGGGAACTTCAGCGGTGCCTTGAGGACGGCTTTGAAGATCTGCCAAGCAGGGACCGAAAAATGCTAGCTGGGATCATGCCCATCTCATGAGGCTGAGACAACTCAAAGCCATCAACGTACCATCACGAGTGACCCTGCGAAGCCAATCCTGAGGGTCCCTCTTGAGAGATGCTAGCCTGCTGGCAATAGACCACGATGTTAGGTCAATCTTCCGGTGCTGCTGCAGCGTAAGCGGCCAGTTTAAAGATTTGTGTTTTTGGCATGGCGACTGGCAGTGAATTCCGATGGAGCTTTAAGAGTTGCTTTTGCAACTGCATCTATTTAGTGGTGCTTCTGCCATCTCAGATTCCTTCTAAGGGTTCTTCGCTTTGTGCGGAAATGAGCGCGCCGAGGCATGCGAGGTTGCACTGAGATCTCTAAAAGTTGGTTGATCTGTGTCGGATACGGATGGCATTTATTTCATGACCATGACAGTTTTTTCGGTCTTGGTACAAGCACCAACAGCATGTCACGCTTTTCACAAAGACATCGCCACATGAGGCGACCGACGGGAAAGTCTCATCACCTCTGGGAATTGCGTTCACGCGAAGGTTGCAATGGGAGATTGCCAAATCCCTTGCCATGAGAACTTTCCAGAAAACGTCGAGACTATGGAGGCCCCAACTAACGCAGCATTCAATTCCAGTGACTCTGCGCGGGCATAGCCTCTCATTCGGAAGCATGCCTGCCTTCCTTTTCCTGGGGTTGGGAGGGCCCCAAACCCATCACCCCTAACCCTTCCCTTGCCCAGCCTCGGCATTGCTCGCCTGATCGTCGCCAAATGGGAATGAGCCGACCATGAAGTCCTGGACCGCTCTTGAAAAATTATGTAACCGAAAGGATGAGACTAACTTATCCCTGAACCCTGATAATATAATCCCTACATACAACCCATACATATACATATAAGTATGCATGTATAGAGTCTCTTTGTATAATACAAAAAAGAAACTCCAGCATCTAGGGGAATCATGCCAGGCTGGCGAAAAGGCAAACGCCTAGACTCCACAGGTCAGCCGAGGTGGTATATCCTCGGCAGAAGGGGCTCTGACTGGAAGCAGTGCCAGCATATGCCGGAAACCCAAGGTCGTTGCCCACAAACAATCGAATCGTACAAGTGAGATACAGTCTTATGTGAATTGTGGTTCGACCGCTGAGATGCTGTCCCTTTCCAAGGATTACCTGTGCAGCTGCAGCCCGTGTACTCTGTTGCACAAGCTTTCAGGGAATACTAATAGAATTAATCATAACAATGATAATAGTAATAAAGTAATACTAGTAGTAATAATAGTAATAATACTAATAACGGCTTGCGTGGGACACGAAAATCTGGCAGTTTCATCTTCAGGGTTCAGCTTTTTGGTCACAATTTAAGACTTGGTATGCTGCTTGGCCTCCGGTGCCATGAAGAGCGGCGTGCCCTTGACCTGTTACAAGCTTGAGTAAGGGCATGTGAGCCATAGTCTATAGTCCCCCTTCAGTAGATAGAATATGGCTTTGGGTATATTATAGTAAGATCCCCATATACTCCATATTCTATCTACTTAAGGGGGACTATAAACTCCTAACATCTCCCTTAATAACCCCCACAATACTCCCTCAAGGACTTTAGACTCTAGGACATGTCAGCAGTCCGGGAATTTTAGGCACTCTTCGTGATGTAAAAGCTTGATTAAGATGGGTCCAACCAGTTTGGCAGTTGCCCTAAATGGGAGACTCAAATATGAACCCCCAAATACTACCATCCTTACTCTAGGGAACCCCACAAGGTACATCTGATTTTGGGAAATCACCATTTAAAAGTGCTGAGGCCCCGGCTGCGTAAATTCGACCATCTGTTATCTGGCGCAGTGGACACATCTTCCCATCAATTGCCGAACCGGAAAAAAGCCATGCCCCACACCCGCTCGGCTACGCCAAAATCGATGATCTTGAGGTAGCCATGCTGGTCGATGAGGCAGTTCTCCCCTGCAGCATGGGGTAGTTTCCCAAAAAAGGAACCCCAATATAGACCCCAAAATGCTGTAATCCTATCTCAGGGAACCCCAAACATGGTTCCCCTAATCTGGGGAAATTCCCGTAGGAACAGCAGTTCGTCTTTGCTCCCAGGCACTGGGCAAACCGTAGAGACAGGAAGATGGGAACCCTAGATTAGCACAAGGAGGCGATGTGGCTGCTTGATTTAGGCAACTGTCCCAGCATTTCCGAGCTACATCCTGCACACTGAAAGCCAGTGCCGAAGAACACTGGCCTGCCTTTGAGATCAAGATATGCTATTCTGCGTTCATGCAGGAACCTTAGTCAGCCCAGGGTGACCATGATTCTTCACATGGTGAATCCTGTTCCTACTATTATTACTACGGGGGTTTCAATGAGTACGGGACCTCGATATAGATGCCAGTAAACGATAACCTCCCAAATAGAGCGCCTGAAATTTACGGAAACTCCCATATCTCTGGGTGTCTCACCAGGGCCGGTCTATGGTGACCCAGGTTCTGGGCGTTCGTTGGTTCCTTCGCGGGCCTTAAATGAACCTCTATAAAAATCGTTGTAAATCCATCTCCTAGAGTGTGATTTGCTTCGTTCCCTGCAATTCCTTCTGCGTTTCCTTTCTTTTGCTTTCCTTTTGCAATTCGTTCGAGAACTTTTAACATTTCCGGTTACCACAACTCTTCATCTCATCTTGCATCGATTGTCTCCAATCCAAGGCTCAAGCAAGCGAGCCCAACCGTACAGGGATCATGCGAGGGTTGTAGGGTTTTTTCCTTAAGGCAGGGCTGCGTCTTGCCAATTCTGCGAACTGCCTGATGTTTGTGTGGTAGCACAAGCAGCGGTTTCCTTTTACAAAAAACAAACATATCAATTATGCAAACGGATAATTGCGGTTGAGGTCTTACGTTGGACTCTTTATTCTGCAGAAACGAGAACCCCCAAAAGATATACCTACAGACTGCAACCCTCATCATGAATGTCGGCCAAAAAGACACCCACGCTGTGAAGTAGATGGCCCGCAGCGTCGTTTAGACGGCTGAGGGCCGAACTCTAAGGCGAGGATGATGGATGCGGAGTAGAACTGGGCCTGCTTTCCGAGGCATTGTGGGGGCATGGAATTTCTTCAAATGAGCTCACAGTATGTACGCAAAACCTTGGTATTCAAATGTAGATACGGCCCATGTTGATCAATTTCGGAAAATGCGCAAACGGCAGCTCTAGAGGATGACTGCTGACAGCTTGTTTCTCCCACCTGAGGCGCTTGAAGCAGGCCTGATCGAATCAGCCAGTCAAGCAACTAGCCAGGCGAAAATTATTTAGAGAGCTCAAGCACTTTGCGCTCGCGTTGCTACCGCAGCAATCTCCTTTGCCATGCAAGAAAAACCTGCCTAGAGCGTCTAGCGCATCCAACAGCTCTCCCCCAGTGACCTGAGACAGTGCGGAAGCAACTTCAAGGAAAAAATCAAAAACATACCGCATCCCAACATGTCGGGTAATAATTCGGAGGCTGAGAGTGTGCTACGGAAAGATTTGTCACCCTTTCACTGCGAGGTTGCCCCCAAAGTTCACAATTCACAAACATGCAATTTCCAAGCCACTGGGCACTACAAGCTGATGACAGTTCGATCGAGGTTGGAACTAATTCAGTGAGGAAGTACACGTGTCGAGCGCCTGGCATCACGCATTGATGCGTCTTTGAAAGGTTGCAGGCTACAAGCTGCGTCCCAAGTTTGGGACATGTGCTAAGAGCTTCAACTAAAGACGTCTGCTGGAAGATCGTGTTCTGAGGTGCGGACTGTTGAATGACCGCACGAACTTGATGATGAACGGGTGGTCCTCGCAGGCATAGAGTTCACGGACAGGACAAATACGGGGTTCCCAAAATTGGGGGGGTATCTTTCTGCGGATCCCTATAACAAGGCTTATAATATTCTGGGGTCTATATTGGATTTCCCCTGTTTTGGGAAAGTATGAATTCGTCAGGTTCCTCCAAAGAAGAGCACAACTCTTGACATCATGGGCTATGCAGTCCAGTTCTGCCAGAATGTTTCTTTCGTGCGCCAACGCCTTTTGCTGCTTCTGTTCCACCTTGGTACGGCGAAGATCGCTCGTGTCAATGGTCTACGCACTGTCACCGCGCGGTCCCTGATGGTTCTGCAGAAGTAGGGCTTTGGCAGCTTGTTTTTTGCTGACGCACTTCAAAGCATACCTGAGCCACATAGATGACAGATATACTATAGTTTCCATTTTCTTTTCCATTATCCCAATATAACTAATATAATATAACCCCTATATAACCCTAATATAGCCTGCAGCACGTATTGCTGCGAAGCTCCACTGCCAGCCTGGTGTCGCTAGTCTTGGACTGAACCTGAGGGAGTCATGCAGACAGCGGCAGCTCAAGTTGGATTTGGTCGCTTGCTGGAATGAATCTTTAGTTCAGGCAACCCTTATCAGACTTTACCCGTTTCTCAAACTTCTTGTGCGACTGGAAAAGAATGTGGCAGTTTCCCCTATCCAGCTTACATAGGGATAGAAATGGAAACTACTACATTATAATAGGGCATATATTGAAGGGTATATCGGGGTTATGTCGGGACAGTGAAAATAACGTGATGGAAACTAATGCCATTGCACCTGTTCCTCTTGCCGCAGTCGGCGTAGGCTTGCTGGGCTAGGGGCCATCTTCACAACTCCAAATCCGCCTCTTCCAATCACTCGCAGGCACGTCAGCGAACTCAGTGACAAAGGAGTTTCTTTCAAAAAGGGACAAAAGGGTATATATAACCACAATATAGTAGTTTCCATTTTCTTTTCCATTATCCCCATAGAACCCCAATATAGTCCCTATAATCCCTATATGTGAGCACTGATGGCAGCTTCATCTGCGGCATATGCTCCGAGATTCTGGCTCCAGGTCTATCTTGGTGTTCTGCAGCGCAATTCGCGCCTACATTCCGGTCGAACCATAAGCAGATCAATAGCAAAGATGTGCAGGTCAAATGCTAACATGAGTAGTGCTTCTGATAGTTCAACGAAGTTCGAATACATTCTTTACATACAAAATAAACCCAAGGGGAAGATACGATCTTACTCTGTACCCATAGTATCCCCAAATAAAATGCTGTTCGCTTGGGCTCACGGAAGAGCAAGCCATCCTGGACACTGCAGGACAGGCTCAGCTAGATTGCAGGAGAGCCTTCATGTACTCCAAGATCGGACCTTGCACCGCCTGCGTTTGCAATGGGGGATTTCCTGTGAGATTGCAGCAAGGAAGCCCACAACCATGGATTGTACCCCCAAAGCCTGATTGAAGTCATCAAAGCCCATCATCCACAGTTCGCAGTCCTGCGCCGCAGGGCGGGCCCATTCCCAAATCACAGAGTACAACAGTCAGAGCACATGTGTGAATTTCCACTCAACTGAGCCCCGTCATACGATAACCTAAGATTCCTTATCATGATCTCCATCAGGGAACCACTAATTGCGGAAACCCTGATGTAGGTCTCACAACATTCGGCCTCTACAACTTTGACCGTTGCCGTGCGCGGGCCGTGGAAAAGCAAAGCTCGCTCACCTAACGGATAGCAATTAGAACGGTTTATGCTTACAATTCCTATGGCAAGACACAAGTTGACCACATCATAATGACCGCAATGTTATTCCTACTGCTGCTTCTGCTGCTGTTCTTACTGCGGCTCTCCGAATACAAGTTATTGTGTACAGCCAGACACGGAGCGCCCACATCTGCGCTAAGGATCTCGCCGACATAGTCTCCCATGCCCAGCGTTCGCACTTTGCGGCCATCAATTGACACCTGTTGCAGCGAGAACGTCAGCATGAGGAATTCGCACCAAGCTAGCTAGCGCAGTCGTTCGCTGAGCCCCGGGGGCTCTAGAATATGGGGTATATGGGGATCTTACTATAATATACCCAAGGTCATATTCTAGGACTATACCCCCTCAACCCAGCCTCTAAGAGCCCAGTGTGGATGATGTAGAACTCCTGGCCAAACTCACCTCGCAAGAGTAGGTGCGAGACCATGATACAGGATGGAGGGGCTACTCTTGGGCCTGTAGGGATCCATGCCCACCCTCAACCCTAAGCCTTCAATGATATTGTGCGTAGGTTCATGTGGTTTCCAACTTCTTTTCCATGTTTCCATTCCCTGCTGAGCACCAGGTAGAGGCAAGAAGGGAGCGGCCTTGGTTGAAAACCATGTCTCCAGGCTTCTTCTTGATGACCTGCAGAACAGAAGGGCGGTCCCTTTAAAGGGGTTATAGGGGGATCTATAGGGATGTATGGGAACTATATAGGGGTATATAGGACCCAAATAATAGGGTGTTAGGAGGGTTTTGGGGCTCAGGGCTCAGGCAAGGGAAAAACACAGCATGATTCAAAATGCCGACAAGCTATGGCCGATATCCGACGGAAAGAAATTGCGGGCATGGCGTCTGCAACACCTTCTATGTCGCAAAAATATTCTGAGCAGCTGCGAGCCCATGATGCCACTTACATTGCAAGCACGATGAGCGCTAGGCGCAAGAGCGGTGGATGTCTCTCGACAAGTCACGTCAGTATAATGTACCATCTGACAGCCAATCATGGCCTTCTTAGCGAGTGTTCCAACCAAGTTGCCAAGCCAGCCTATAGACAATCACCCCAAGCCATAAGAACATCCCATCTGAGCCATCTGGATGGAAATTGCTCGACATCAGCTCAGAATTTGAGGATAACTGTTGCAACCCCACCAAATATCTATATCTACAAAATCCATATAAACTCCGCACTCCACAGGCCCTCCACCCCACAGCACGGGGGGGCTGCAAAAATTGGGAGCCCTTACTTGTTGGAGGTCCCCGTAATAAGAGTCATCATCGTTTCTTCGTATCAGGGTCCCCAGTTCATGGAAACCCAAAAACCGTTTTTAACACATCACTGCACCCCCGGCCTGCAAGAAATCTGCAAACCCTAATTAAACCCTGAAATCCCGAACCCCACCAAAAAAACCTTTTGGGACGGCTGTTGCGCCTCCAAGGCTTCCGCCAGCCTCTGCAGCTGGTCAGGTGCCAGCGTGCGGAAGACCACGACCTTGCGCAAGGCGCCCACCTGCAATGTCGAGGGTTATGGGGGCCAGATAGGTGCATCTTGGAAAAAATTGGCTGCACGTTCCCCCCCCCCCCAACGGCTGTAACTCGGGCGCTCAACAACATCACAAAAAGTCTCCAGAATTTGAATCTCTCATCCTTGTGTGACTTCCATGTAATCTCTATGATCAGTTCGCTCGGATCTCTTACTGAATAGCACACAAATCCCTTCAAGACTCTTTTATCTTTAAATCTTGTCTATCTTCTTCTAAAGTACATTATGTGCCTTCGTGTAGTTCTTGACCTCGGTCCTTGCTCATTCTGCCAAGATCCAGGCCCCACCCGCACAACAAGGGGGACGACCACACGAAGGGTTTTGCAAGTGTACATAGGGTATAGATGGGTATAGGACTTCCCGGCTTCTGAACGGTTGGGGTCTCTTGTTTTCGGGTGTCCTTACACTATTCTCGAGGATACGTAAGAGAATGCAAATTTTCGGAAACAACCGCGTAGGGTTGGAGGTTCGCTTGTTGGGTATTAGGGGTGGTTAGGCTGCCACGTAGGATGATTTTGTTTGGCCTCGGGTGGGAGCTGGGATTCCAGAAAGGTCTCTGGCTTTGGAACTTCAGGTTTATGGCTTGGGGCCTGACGAATTTAGAGCTGAAGCGTTTACAGCGTTCAACCGTGAGTCCTGGCTGCTGGACATAATGATCGGAACCCAAGTTTCAGCTGGATTGGCTTTTTCTTTGTTTCTTGATTTCTTGGGTTGGGATCCAGGCCTTTGTCCCGATTGTGATTTTCTCCTCCCTTCTCCCGTCTTCCACACGCAGAAGGTAAGATTGCATAGAAGGATTGACTTACGCCACCAAGGTACCATGCTAAAGCGTGCGGTAGAACCTTAGTGATAACCTTGTGAAAGCACCGGGCTGTAGGCTTATCGCCGTAGAAACGCCCATCGGCTCACCACAGGTGAAAAAAGGGGTTTGCCATCTCCACGGTGGTGGAATGATGCAGGTGCTTCAAAGCCAGCGGCGCTGATGCATCAATCCGCTCCAAGCCGAGCATCAGTCGCAAAGATGAGCATGAGCTTGAGACAGGAGTTCCCGCCTTGTCGTCCGACAGCACCGCTAGTCTCATCGATGGTGACCGGACGCGATTCTGGCACAGGAGACAAATGACCATGATCAATATCAAAGGTCAAAAGAACCTTGATGCTGTAAGTTGTTCCACAAGGAGTTCCACGTCAGTTGTTTTATGAAAGTGCCACTACACGCCTGCCCATGTCTCAAAGCTGTATTACAAACCTTGCCCAACACCACCTTGCACATCACGCTAGAGGGGTAGCATTGGCTGAAAAATGTTACATCCCAGCAACCATAGCAAGAACCAGTCATCATAAGCTTTTTGCAAAATATGAGTAGCCAAGGCCGCTCCCTGCGCCTCGCTGCTTGTACTCATCGGGGATATGTCAGGACCTCAAATCTCAGTTTTGGCAGCTTTTGCTGTGCTTGGCCCGGCAGGGTAGGGAAACTAGCTCTATGATGATTGAGGGTCGAAATACCAAGTGGGCTGCAGAGATGGTTGTTGACAACTCCCACTCCAAAGAAGACCAGGAGGCTACGCGGCAGACATGCTTCCAGCACAGCCTTTTTCTCTTCATGCGGGCCCCTGGCATTTCTCAGAGTAAAGGCCCTCTTGTACATGTTGATCTAAACATTTAAAAAAATCAACATTTGATCACCCCGAGGCGACCGCTGGAGCTAACGCGCTTCTTTCTCCTCACCGGCAGGGTGCTGTTTTGCGGGAACACGGTGCATTTCAGGAGCTCCATGAGAGGTACATGCGGCTGCGGCCGCATAGTTGCTGGAGCATTTTCGTATGTGCTTTGGTGGAACAGGACCCCGTGATGCATACTCGGGTCTTGCAGGACCTTGCAGGTAAAGTGTACCCGCATGGCATATTAGACGTAACATTGGAGGCACCCTGCAAACGGACCCTGGAAGAACAACCCCGCTCCTGACGACTTCAAGGAAGACCGCCACAGGTCGTCCTGCAACAAGAACAGCGAGACCAGACTTGCCGGTAAGGGTAGCACTACTTCAGCAGTTCTTAAACGTGACGAGAACCAGTGGGGTACGACAAAGAAAGTGCAAGAGCAGAACCGACTTCGGGATGTTGGCGCTGAGCACCGCAGAACGTGTATGTTTTAAGAGACACACTGTTCAATCATTGTACTTGGACTTCGAACTGTACCGAAGTAGTGGACCTGCCTGACCAAAGCGCCATCTTCACTGGCTTTGTCCTGTGCAAGACAGCAGGAGCAAAATAGCCATAGCAATCCTTGCCTGTGTAAGACGCATGTCTGGCAAGATCAGATAGAAGTGTCTGCATCACCACAGCTCAGATCCAAACCCAGCTGCGGCGACTCTCAGTCGGACCACAGGTGACCTCCGACCCAGCTTGCCAGGGCCAGTACATATAGACCCCATGCATCATCATGCAGACTGGACCTATCTCCGTCCAAGTCAGAGTCTTCTGGGTGAAGGACTTTGCCTGCCAAACTCTCAGCTGAGAAATTTCACTTAACGAAAGGCACCAGCAAATGGCAGACATGGCCTCTTCCAAGCTGTTCAGGCGTGCGCGCCTCACGTCTGCAAGACAAGTGATCCGCTTGCATGTCTAGAGACCACCGATTGCTACTGCACCAAGGTCTAAGTGAAGAGCGTTCCCGTCCTTGTCGACGAGCGTGGCCTTCTGTATGCAGCTTGGCAGACCCCAGCTTGCACCGAAGGTGCGCAACAGCGAATAAATTAAGGACCATGCGATCGTTTGATACACTTTCGGCGGTCCAGCTATACCATACGCTGCAACCATAACAGCCATAACGAAAGGAGTCATAAAAGCCTTAAAGGGCATTTAATCAAAATACGTCTTTGTTATGCTAAACAGCTAAATGCTACTGCTAAACCCTACAGACTCTCAACCCTAAACCCTCAATCACTACTTGGTAGTTTCCCAAAATTAGGCGTATCCCCCCCTATTTAGGGAAACTACCATTTTGAGAAAAGGCTTCCTTTCTGCCGGACCTCGGCCTGCCCAGCCAAGCTGAAGCCTAATCGGAAGCTGGACCTCGAGTCAAAATTGGGGGCGCAGTAGGCTTAATTCCCTCCCCCTAGTACTGGCCCCCCACCCCTCCAATACTAAATACTTTCAATATATTGTAATATACCACAATGGGAATGTTTAATATCAGGGGAGATGGAGTGGCTTAATATTCGGGGGAGGGAGATGTACAGGGGTTTCGGGGAAGGGTTGAGGGTTTGGGGTTTAGGGGGCTTGGGTTTCTGGGGTGCGCGGAGTGGCGATGTCTACTGAATGTCCAGAAACCGTGCAAATTCCATTGGGCAGGTTTTTCATGTAGCGTCCCTTAGAGGCATGTCGAACTTGCGCATCCAAGCTCAAAGTTTGATATGAATCTACTAGCCTTGCAATGAGAATGAGCATTGCATTCCCAAACCATGCAGTCAGGCGAGCTTTAGCAAGTGAACCGTGACGCTCAGCATGGCTGTACTCACTGAGCCAGCAAAACCTCGACATCCCTAAAGTGCTATTGGCACTGAGAACCGTCAAGCCCAAAGCAAGGAGCCATAGTTTTGGGCATGCTTCTTCACCCCTACGGCAGCTTTGGTTTGGATTTCTGAGGACTCCTTTGTGAGGACTTGATGCTACCCAGCATGCCACTGTTCTTGCCTTGAAGCTGCCCTTGCAACGAAAAGGCAAAAGAAACAGGCTGACTTTTTCCCTCAGGAGACAGGAAAAAGAGGAGAAGACAGTTGCTGCTGTGAACCTGTTGGACCTAATGGATTGGTAAAGATATAGGGGTTTCCCAAATCAGGGGTACCAATTTCGGGGTGCCAATACAATTTTGAGGAGTATAGTATTTTGGGGTCCATATTGGGGTCCCCTTATTTTGGGAAACTACTTCCTAGCCACGGCACCGTTGGGCTTTTGGGCGGCTAGGGCGAATAATGTGTAGCAGCGTCTCAGAACTCAGAACTAGGTCGTAACGACCCTGCACCGATCGCATCTTTGGGAGTCAGAGGAGTATGCTCTCAAATGAGCAGACCTATGTGGTAGTTTCCCAGAATAGGGGGACCCCAATATAGACCCCAAAATACTATAATCCTTATTATTGGGACCCCTAAAATGGGCCCCCTAACTTTGGGAAACCCCCATGTAGCACCCTTCATTGAGGCCTCTCCAGCGCTGCACCAGGCTGCATGTCAAGGACCTCACCGCACAGGCCGCAAAGGTTACATCGTGTAAGCAGTTGATTGCTGATGGGCATCATGCGTGTACTCCACCTCGCATATTCTGCAGCCATATTTGTTCTGTCACAGGATCTATCTAAAAGTTAGGCAGCATCGTTACAACAAATGCAAGTAGAGAAGGGGAGCTTCACAATTAAGAACCCAAAACAGCCTCAAACATCTTCGTAGAGCCGTTGCATGACTATCAGTAGCAGAGGAGGCCGGGTGAACTTGCACCGAGAGCGAAAATGGTGTCAATGCTAATCTACCTTTAAAAAATGGCGGGGGGTAGGTCCCCTTCAACCAGGGTTGAACAGAGTCCCCAAGCCCACATCGAGAAGTCTTTGCTTCACAGTAGCCAGGGGGAGAAGAGAAGATCAAAGCCAAATCCCAAAACAAAAGCTCCGCTGTGACAGCTGCGACCTACGCTGTCATCCAGAGGATGTATTTATTTGTTCAAATCATTCCAAAGTATCTCAGAGCAATCCATCTAAAGTATTGTAGCCTTTCTGCAAGGACACCAAAACGGCCTTAATCTTGAGCAAACACGAGCTTCATCCCGCTTCAATCTACACGACTCTTCCCTATCGCCTCGCAAAGGCTCGCAAGGCCGTCCAGCTGGTCGACGCGTAAGTGGATCAGGTCCTGCAGATGGCTAGAGGCATTGCAGTGCAGAAAGCATCGCAGCATCGACATGGGTAACACCGAAAGATACCAAAAGCAATCATAGTAGCGCATAGTGATTTTCACGCTAGCAAAAGTGAGAGTTCAGTACTTATACCTTCGGCCAAGATGGAGAAATCACATGTACTAGAACAGGTGACAGTAGGAACAGCATCGGCCAGCATCCACAGCTCGCAAAAAGGCAGCAACCAGCCGCAGGCGGTTTTCTAGTAGGAGGGTCAAGCCCCGTAGCTCCTAGGTAAATAGTATTGTCGTAAAATCCTACAAAACCCCTGCAAGAGGATGTAGGCCCTGCACCCACAGCACAGATTCTGTCGTCCTCCTGTTGCCGCAGCGTGTCCAGAATGCGGGCTCGGATCACAGTCTCCTCTAAATTCGCCCCGAACCTGGCGTAAGGGTGGTTAGTAGTGGAAATTAGCAAATTCTTGGAGATACCATAGAATGTTTATAAGAACTACTAAGGCGAACCATCCAACATTCCCTCCCCACCAGCCAGCTGGTAAGCGTGGAGATGGACTGACCATCTTGCTAGTCCTACTGGTGCCTAAGGGGGATGTGGGGGAGTGAATATAGATACCACTATATGGGTATATTTGGACTAATAGGGATCCGCTCCCCCCAGCTGAATGCCCTCATGACAGGACCCTAAATCCGAAACCCTTAAACAAAAACCCTGAGGCCCAAGCATCTGCTCAAGGAGGGTGCTGTCTAGTACCAGGGTCTGGACCTCAAGTCACATGGTTCCCCAGGGGCACGCTGAATTGAAAGGCACTGGAAAAGATGCTGGAATTTGCGGTGGAGTTGCTTTTGGCGCTGGTAAGCCCTGCTCTCGTTGATTGTTCTGTCGTGGTTCGGGTTGTTATCCACCAGGTCCTGCCCCTCAAACACTGGGACCCGCAGCAATGTTGGGCCACCAGCAGTACTAGTCAGAAACACCATCATCAAATTCAAAATCCCAGACCCCTGAATCCCGGCGGTGATGATCTCCATGCCAAAGTCAACATGCCAGCATTTTAGTTTTAAGGCTGAAAATGCAAAACAAATTGAGCTCAGAAAATGCATTGAAGGCATCCAAAGCACCAAATGTTTTGTGAAGCCTACACCCTAAACCCCAAACCTAAATCCTAAACCCTAAAATCCTGA